CTCTCTCTCTCTCTCTCTCTCTCTCTCTCTCTCTCTCTCTCTCTCTCTCTCTCTCTTTCTTTCTTTCTTTCTTTCTTCCATGCAACAAAACCTTGATTACGATTCTGAACAGGTTCAGCTACTAATGAAACTGGCAATTTTTAAACTTAATTTTTTTTTAAAGAAACAAAGCTCTGAGATATGGACAGAAGCAATGGGAAGTAAATATGTCACCAAGGCAAATGTTCACATCAAGAGGAAGAGGAAGGGACAGTGAAAGTGAGAAATCAACACAAAAACTAAAACATGAGGATGAAGCGCTCAGAGGAGGAGAGAACGGAAACATGCTGAGCCAGAGTATAAGGAAGGGTCCAGGGAGGAGACTGAGGCCCGAGGTGAAGGAAGTGGTGCAAGGTCAAAGGGCCTTCCCGAGGTGGAGACTTAAGATTCCAGGAGAGGATGCAAGTGAGCCCCAAGGCAAGGACACGCATTTACCCAGTTAAATTAACTTTTAGTGACATGAAAACTCGGTGGAAGAAAAAAGCACATACACGCTGTAGAAATCTTTTCATCCTTCCATTGGCAAGCTTGGTGGCCAGACGCATTAAAGGGTGCACAGGAGGAAACTGCAACAAAGAGGGGCTATGAGGGTGAGACTGAACACTGGGACACCGGGACATAGCCCAGGGTTATGTGCATCCTTTCCAATCACGCCTTTACAAATGGGTTTAATTTCCAGAGCAAAATCCATTTCCCAGCCTAAGCTTGACATTTTATGTTTTCAATAAAGAATCGTCTGCCTTGATAGCAGGTTTCCACCCCCACATATCACTTAAATATATTCCCTTAGGATAAATCAGACTTTTGTCCGCATTTACCCCGTTCATTCCGTCCTTCTGGTGTGGAGTTGTCCCTAAGAAGCATCTCCACCAGATCCTATCTTGCTCCCCAGGTGCGCTCTCCTAATCCAAGGGACCAGCTGGAAGGGCAGCATCCCTAACCCTCTCTCCTGGATGTATTTGATTTTCCTGTACTTCTTGTCTGTGACTGCCCACACACACTCAGGCATACACACCTGGCTCTTATCTAGTCTTGTGAGTTCTCCCTGAGTAGTGTGGCTCACAATACAAGGTAATTTGTGTCACAGACCATGTTTATCTTCCCTCCCCACCATTATCATTTCTCCCTTTGCCCTTCTTAATAATATCCCACATTACTGGATTCCCCATTCCTGAACCTGTACTACTGATGAGGCTTTACCTCTTAGGGAAAAATAAACAAAAAAACCCACTTTGTCAGGTATTTGTCTCTTAAGGGTCTTCTTGAAGACTTGGAAAGCCTTGATTATAAAAATAAGTGACTTTCTAATGGTAAAATTTCAGTTGCTGTGACAGGGCACCTGAATTAATTTTATTCTATGATCTTCCTAATATTCCTCAAATCATACCCTGCAGAAATTCACCTACACAACCTGCTCCTGAGGGTAACTCAAGTTTATACTAAGAAAGTTAGAGGTGATGCTTATTATTCGCCTGGCACACACGCCCGTGATGGTTATGGAAGGTGCACATCCATGGATCACTACTGGAGATAAGGTACTTTACACTTCACAAAGCACTTTCCAAATTTAAAAGAAAAACAGAAGGTTATATGGAACCTCATAAATAGACTTCGGTATTCGCTGGGGGTCTTCTCATACATCTGTTTGAGTGCATAATAACGTTATTTCTTACTTATTTTTCCTTTTCCATAATTTATTCTCTAACTTTTTAGACCTGTCAGCCTCCCCCACCCACACTCTAGGAGGGAGGCACATACTCCCTGCAGCCCTGGAAAGAGGCACCTAGAAAGCTATTGAACAGAGAGTGTCTGAGGCCCCCTGCTTTTCTTCTGATCTGTGCATATTAATTAGAAAGGGAGAAAAGGCATGCAGAGGAAAAGGACTTTTACAGAAAGATGATTATGGTGCAATACTGACCCCAATTTTAACTGGAAATGTTGGCTCCTGAGTTCGGGAGTAGTGAAATAAAAACTGAATAAGAGAACAAAAGTTGATGTTAGTATTGAGTGTCACTTGTTATAAAGTGGCAGTTTCATGTCCTTGCTATGGGGCTGGGCAGTACTCACCCTTTTGTATATATCTTGCTTATCCTGGAAAGAGAATTGGTAGGGTGAGTGACATGGAATTTTACTGGGGCGGGCAACTGACAAGGTTTTTAGTATACGTTGCACCATAGACCTTATTGGATTTACCTGAATATTATGAAATAAATTGGCAAGCTAAAAAGACATTCATTACACAGACTTAATAAGACTATATAGTTGATGCTGGATCTTACAAAATAAAAAGGTCCCAGCAATACATCATTATTTTAAAACTTAATCTCATTTTACCTTTTCAATCTTTGGGGGGAAAGCATACCCTATGATGCATAGAAGTAATACCCTATTCAATTCCCAGATAACCATCTAAGGGTTGGGATAAAGTAATGATTGCAATTTTTTTATTTGCTGCAGGGTGTGCCCTAGAATTCAGCTTTTAAAAAAAATGGTTGGTTCAGATTGACCTTTTTCCCTAAAACTTCTTTCCTCAAAGCTTTCTCCATGAGCCTTCAGTCTTCTTGCAGAAAGCACAGCTTTTCATATCTAAGTCCTTGTTAGAGCACCACCTTGCCCCTGTCTGCCCAGGAAAAGCTGTGTAGGCAGCATACTGTACCCAGGGATGCTGTGAGGAAGGCATCTTACCAAACAATAGCACAGAGTTCCATGTCTGAATTTTCTAAAACTGCTAGAGATGATCACTGGGAATGATTTTTAAATACGTTGATCTGGCTGTTATTGATCTTCATATCTCTTTCACATTTAAATATGCTCAATCAGCTCAAACTTCAATTAAGACAGAAATGAAGGTTTTTAATAACACTTCTAATTTTGTTGCGGTGAATACATCTTCCTACAAACTTTGTGGAGAGCTTTTGCAGTGGAACCGGCTGATAGGTATGTTTCTGTCTTCTCTCTCTCTCTCTCTCTCTCTCTCTCTCACACACGTGCATGCATACACATGCATATGGGGACAGACACACCTATAATTATCCAATAGCAGACATTCTGTGAAAATTCGCTCTATTGCCTTATAATTACCATTTCTCAAATGTACTATTTACTACTTTTTACAGCTCCTGGTCTTCTTGTCAGCATATCTCTATCTCTCTCTCTCTCTCTCTTCCCCCCTCTCTCTCTCTGTGTGTGTGTGTGTGTGTGTGTGTGTGTGTTCTGAAAACTTACTGGGGGCAAACAATTGTTTGTTTTGATACCACATTCATCAACTTTACACCATTACTTTTCAGGCCAAAAAATAAAAAGAACTATAAAGATGTTTTTCCAGTTACTAATCACCACTGTCAACATTTTATATGCACCTTCCTTGCTGTATTTTTTTCTTTTTAGAGAAAAATCATGTTAAAATTTGCTTATCCATCTTCTTATCATTTCCCTAACTAGGATATAAGTTTCATGAGAGCAGGCACTTTTGTCTGTTTTGATTACTACTGTATCCCCAGCACCGGGCACATGGCATGCTTTTGATAAATATCTTTTTTGAACAGATGAATAGGAGGGCTGTGTTCACAAGAATCTGTTGCCCTTTTTTCCATAAAAACTTCTCATCCAGAGCAGTTACCAGAAACACAAAACATGAAGTTTTGTTTTGTTTTAATTCTTTCAATAATTTTATTTTGTGCAGACACACAAAAAAAATACAAGTTTTAGATTTAAGGACTTCAGTCCTCCCCCCCCTCCCCCCGAACATGCAAGAACACTGTCAATGAGGGAGATCTTGTATATCCCAGCTGCCAAAAATGGCATTTAATAATAGACAGAGTTTGGCAGAAAAGGCAGACAGTACCAATAAATAAACATTCAATTAAAATTATGAGAAAACTTAAGAGCTGTAGCTCGCTATACCCTTTCCTCTGAAAAACAATAATCATCATAATAGTAATAATAGCAGCCATTTATTGAGCTTTACTACGTACGTTCCAGGTACTGTGCTAAGGGCTTAAAATGGATCATGACATTTAATCCTCATAAAGTCCAAAGAGTACTATTGTTAACTCAATTTCCAGAAGAAAATGGAAGCTTAGGAAGGATCTTTTCTAAGACCTCAGAGGTAGGAAGTCGAAAACATGAAAAGTTTTGCAGGTGTCATTATGACATTGCAGAATGTAATGCTTTCTGAGCGGCCTCAAGATAAGAGTTCCCTGGAGATCCAGACCTGGACTCTTCTGGACACCACAACTGGAAGAGGACTTAGCGCCCAGGTAACTCATCTAAACATTGGATAGTCGAGGAAACCAAAGCCCCAGGAGAGGAAGTGACAGGCCAGAGGTTACACTTCAAGGCAGAAGAGCCCAATCTCTCTATTAATACCTTTAAAATATTGGCAGTTTTGTTCATGAGCAATGCTTTGCTATCCTGCAATTGGAAACAATGAACAGGGTCAGCTTTGGGAAAATGGAGACAGTGGAAGGAAATTCATTCCAAGTGGGCCTTTGCTCATGGGGAACCCCACAACACAATGTGCTACTGCAGGTAGCACATGTGACAGACAGCCACACTTCCACTTCCTCTGCTTATGCAGGGGACACCTTTACAGCCTTCACCTGAGGGATAGGGAAACCCCTTCGGTGTGAGATGGAGAGCTCTGAGTTCACGCCCTGGATTTTTGCTCTGGGTACCAAGGTTGTAAAGATTAGTTCTAAGGATGAGAGATGACAACTGTCTTCAAACATATACGTAATGGTAAACTGAAAATACAAAGAAATTGGCATGAAGTTTAAGAGAGAAACTGATGTTTGAGTCTTGAAGAATGAAAATTAGTTGCATTGAGAGATAATGGTGACAGCTAGCACCTAAGTGCTGTCACTTTCCATGTTCTAGGCCCTGGTTGGAAACACTTTACAAATATCAAAACAATTAACCCTCACAATAATATTGTCAGGTTAGTATGACTATTACTTTCATATCACATATGGGGAAACTGAGACACAGAGCAGTTAAGAAACTAGCTAAGGTTAAGTAAATGCAGGTTTTGAACCCAGGTAGTTTTGTTTTAGAGTATGGGCTGTTAACCACAGCCAACAAAGGAGGTAAAGGCATTTTTGGTTAAGGAAAAGCCTGTGCAAAGACATAAGGGCCTGGTACATGTGGGGAATAGTGAGAAGTTCAACATGGCTGGAGCATGGTGTGCCGTGGGCTGGGGGAGGTGAAGGAAGAGGAGATGTGGCCAAAGATGAAAACACACAGTCTACGCTAAGAATCACGGACTCGCCTTTGATACCACCCTCTACTGAATCAACATTTACTTTGTATCCATTGGAATATTTATGTTGTGGTTAATATAGTTATTGTCAGATCCTTTACATAAGATCTATTGTTTTGGAGAACTGCTATATCATCATATATCAATTTGTAATATGTTATGAAATATCATAACATATACAATTAACGTTATTAGACATGCATATGTAATTATGATAATTGTAAGAATGCAGATGAACTATAAATATTTTACAGTAATTTATATTTAAGAGATTCACTTGTTATTGCCTAAAACTATATTCTTACACACACATAAGCACGTGCACTCACACACACACACACACACACACACACAAATTCTCCTGTAGGTAGCAAAATAGTGTGATTATTACAGAGATCAATTATGACATAAACATCTGCACTGCTATAACTAAAATAATTATCATAGGTATATATATGTTTTTACCTTAGGTTGCCTGGAAAGAGTTGCCCAATTTGCCAGCCACTAAAAAAAAAAAAAAAGAATGAATTAAAGATAAGTACAAATCCCTTAGTCAATAGAATTCTATCACAACACATATAACTCTAAAATTGTCCCATTTATGAACCTGGCATTATCTTCTCACACACTGGCAGCGAATTTCAACACAACTCTCAGAATGCCTTAAATGAGGCCATAAAAATGACAACAGTGAGTCCTGCGGCAGCCAAGAATCTGATCTTAAAATAGTTTTAAGTGAACATTATCCACATGGTATTTTCAAGGCCAAGACTAAATAAAAACCTCACATTCTGAACAACAGTTACCTCATGCTGCACAATATCCAAGCCATCTGGAGAATCAGCTAAAGGTCGAGGAAATCCTATTGTGAGAAATCATAAAAATATCAATTAGGAGAAAAGAGGTCACAGCATTAACTGTTAAATCCTTACCATGAAAAACATACAGAGATTCTATAAATACATTGTGGTTAAAACAAGATTGACAAAGAAAACATACTCTACCTACCACTAGCAAATCTGAGATTCGTATCAAAATTAGTTAAAAATAGCATTTTTTTTTTACCAGGAGTTAACGGTATAAGAGTGAGCAAGTAAAAAAAAAAAAAAGGGCAAAAATGCCTAGGCAACAACTTAATTTGTAAATCGACGGAATTTATAAGGATGGAATATCAGGAAATGGTATCAACTAGTATATGATTGTCAGGATCACTCTTGAGACGTTTAAGAAATATGGACACCTGTCTCTCTTCTTCATCAAACTCTTCATGGGTAGAGTGAGGAAGGTTGCTTCCACCATGCAGATGGACCCTGTGCCAGTCAACCTTTATCAGACCCAAATGAAGCCTTCATTCCATTTCATGAGATAAACAATTGGAGGAATAACTAATATTGCAATTGAAATAATAAACTGGATAGGTAAAAATTAACCAGATGAAATTAAATGGGGTAAATATAAAACCCTGAACTTAGTCTTATTTTGTGTAAGCCCAAAGAACAGAACTAGAGCTAATGGTTAGAAGTTACATGTGATCAGATTTTGGCTTAGTGTAAAAAAGTTTTTGATGATTGATGCCATTCAAAAATGCTAATTAGTTCCAGCCAATCCTATAAGGATTTATTAAAAGGTTCTGAGTTAACAGTACAATGATAAAGACCATAGGGACCCTACCCTCAGGGAACACAGAGTCAAATAGATGAGGGAGGTGGATATAAATATATAGATAGATAAATAAAAGGTAATAACAAATTTACAAAAGTTTAATATTAGCAAGAGTCTATTGGAGCCCAAAGGAGGCAGCTACTGGCTGTCTTAGGCTGGTAGTGAGTTGAGTGTCACTGAAAGCAATCAAACAGGAAAGTCCTAGAGGCTATCCCTGCTCTTTAAGAGAGGTTAACCAAATGACTTCCACAGTTCCTTGTAGTGCCTAGGTTTTGTGATTACACTACAGGACATGGCAAAAAACCATACTGTTTGAAATATGTTTTCTGTTTGAATATCTTTTTTTTTAATTAAAGTTTATTGGGGTGACAATGGTTAGTAAAGTTACATAGGTTTCAGGTGTACAATTCTGTATTACATCATCTATATATCACATTGTGTGTTCACCACCCAGAGTCAGTTCTCCTTCCATCACCATATATTTGATCCTGTTTACCCTCATCTACCACTTCCTCCCCCCTTGTTTGAATATCTTTTCAAAGATTTTCTACTCCCCCAAATCAAAATTCTAATAGAAAAATCTAAAAATTTGAAATCGTTTGTGTTTCCAACCATAGCTGTTCTGCCACCACATCCTTCCCCAAATCAAATGGAGAGTTACCTGGAGATGGGTAATGGATTCAGACTACTGACTCTACATCCCACCTCTGGTTCCCTACAAACGCCCTGTTCTCAGAAGTTGATGAAGCAACGCCAGCGTTTGGTCAGCACCTAGGACAGCGCACCCACCCAGGAAGCCATGGGGTCTTCACTGGGCTCTCTGGGATCCTGCTTCCTGGGAGCCCACAAAGAGGCTATGAAAAGATTCCTTTTTCCTGTGCGCACGCCTATCTCGCCCCTCCCCAACTGCCCTCGATCCCCAGTCCCTGGGACTGTAAACTTGATTCTAGCGTCTTTTGTTCTGTCTCTTCAGAATTCTGGGGGCACAAATAGCTAAGAAGTTGGGATTTCCCCAACTCCTGTCCCTCACAGTTTCAGCGGCATGTCCTCAGAAAAGCCCTGGGGCAGGAGTTGTTTAAAGATAGTTCCACAGGGGAAAGTTTCTTCTACTAAAACACTGCAGCATCTAGTTCTGTCCACCCTCTCTGAAAGGTTAGAGACAAATGAGAAGCCAGAAATTGAAAGGGTGGAAATGGGGGTATGTCGGGGGACAAAGTTTGCCTCCCTCCAGAACTGCCCTAAGGGATCAAAGTCTGTCTCAGTCTTTCTGGGGTCTGATGAAGGAGTCCCCTTACCTGAGGAGGGGATCTGTAGTAGGCAGAAGCAATAGATAGCCAAAATGGAAGGGAATTGGGGAAGACGTCTCATCTTCAAAGTCCAGTTTCTCCTTGCTTGCAGCAGATGTGTGCTGCTAGTTGAGCATTTCCTGAAGTTCTATGGGCAGAGGCAACCCTCTGACCTGCATCTGATAAGCCCAGTAAAGAAGGTGTCTTTATTTGCAATGCCCTGGAGCCCACTGGCTGAGCACCAATCAGCTTTGCACAGGAGGACCCAGCTTTCTCATAAATGTCATGCTGGGCCCTTATTTGTGGACTAATATCCTCCTGGTGCAGGCATTGTAGAGAGTCATCTTTTTCAACCCGGTAATAAAAATAAAAAATGGAGAGTCATAATTGTTATTCTATAGTAGTTTGAGAAACATTTCTGACTCAAGAAAGGCTTTTCTCTTTTTTCTACTCAAAGAACTGGACATAAATCTATAAACTCTTGAATGATGGAGGTGTTTTTCTAAAGAAACTGTTTATTTTCTACCATTAACAAAGGATGTTTTGTAGTCTTTTGTGCATCTGAGAAGAACAAAATTTGGAATCCTGGATGTAACATCACAAAAAACTCAAAAGGTCAATTAGGGTTCTTGAAAAATATATATCTGTATCTATATCTATCTATCTATCTATCTAGATATATACACCATAGTTGGAAATAAGACTCCTTAAGGCTTCTCCAGACTCATTTATATGAACAAGTTAAATATGTCCAGTTAAATCAGTATTCAAGAAAATGTGACAATATTTAATAATAATAATAATAATAATAATAATGATGATACTCCATCTACTAAGTTTTTATTTGTTTTAGACATTTCACATAGGTTATTTCATATAATTCTCACAGAAAACCCATAAGCAATGTATTATTATCTTAATTTTATGAATGGGGAAATTGAGGTTGGGAAAGATGAAGGAATTTGACCAAGGTCACCAAGCCACCAAGGATACAGATCAGGAATAGGGTATCTGAGCCCAGTCATGTCTTTAAGAGGGTGCGATTACAGTTGATAAGTTAATTTCTCTACAAAGAGCCTCCCTGAGATTGGATATGGGATAGAAAGGAGAAAGAATAAAGTTTGCTATTTCTTGCAAAAGAGGAAGTATATATGGCATATATGAAATAAATATCTTCCATGTTGTTTCATTATGCATCTTTAATTTTTGCTCTTTTAAGGACAGGAGGTAACTAACAACTGTTGAATGCTTGCAATGTGCCTAAAACATGTGAATACTTTACTTAAGTCATATTATATAATTTTTAAATGAACTTTTTAAGAATAATTTTGGGTGGGAGCTGCTCAAAATAGACTGCTTATGACTTAAAATATAGTATTGTGCCATTTCTAGTTCATAACAGACTGGGAATCATGAACTAATCTATAGTCATAATATTTTGCCTACTTTGAACCAGCAAGAAATAGAGATTTCCATTTATTATAGGGTTTATCACTTTGGTTCAAGGAGAATAACCCATGGTCTTTAAACACCAGGCAGAGATTACGTCTTTTGTATTAAAATATACTCACTGCCTAAAAGCAAGTCTTTACTGAATGAAAGAAGAAAATGAATAAATGCTTTTTGAACATAAACCACTTATTTATATGGTATTAAGCACAACTATTTGTGGACATTTTAGACACACAACACATACCTAACAACAAGGTTTGTGGCAGTTCTACTAAGTGTCAATCAGCAAGTACTATTTGAACATAGGGTCTGTGTTGTGTCTGCCAGTGAACTAGGTGCACTATATGCAAACATACCTTTTTCAAATAAACCTTTGTGAGAACTCTGATTTGTACCAAACTTATTTTATGTTTCCTTTGCATATTTTGCCTTATTTCTCACATATTCAGGATAAAATAATAAAAATGTTATTTTTTCATGCTAATTCAGAAATGGGAAAAGGGAAAAAAAAAAGAAAGTAATCTGCATTCAACAACCTTGTTATAGACTAAATTGTGCCCCCCACCCCAATTCACACGCGGTAGCCCTGCTCCTCACATGACTGTATTTGGAGATGGGGCCTTTAAAGAAGTAATTAAGGTTAAATGAGGCACAAAGATGGAGCCCTAATCCAATTGATTGGTGTCCTTATAAGAAAAGGAAGGCTTACCAAGTTCCCTCCCTCTCCATGATTGCACAGAGAAAAGGCTAGAAGACACAGCAAGAAGGCGCTGCCTACAAGCTAAGAAGAGAGGGCTCACCAGAAACAATCTTGCTGGACCTGGATATTAGACTTCCAGACTCTAAACTATAAGAAAATAAATTTCTGTTATTTAGGCCATTCAGTCAGTGGTTTTTTGTTATGGTAGCTTGAGAAGACTAATACAAAGACAGGGATTTTTAGCCAATTCAAATAAAAAAAGTAAAATAATAAAATGAAAAGTAAAAGTTGGAAATGCTCATCGTTTCAAATGATATGATTATCTACCCAAAGAAATCAAAGGAATCAACTGGCTAATTAGTAGAATGCATAAGAGTTTACCAAAATGGCCAGAGTTAAAGAAAACTATTTTCATGAATAATTTTCTTAGACACAAGCAAAAATAAATTTTAAAATGAATTAGAAAATGTAAATAGCTTTAAAAACTATAAATTGTTGATAACTAAACCAAAGAATAAATGTGCAATATATTAAAAAACAACTACAAAATTTTACTGAAGGGCATAAAGGAATATGTGCATAAATGATAAAAGGATATCATGGTCTTTGACAAGATTCAATGTTAAAGATTCAACTGATGGCAAATTAACCTAAATAAAGTCAATGTAATTCTTATTAAATTTCCAAAACAACTTTTCATGAAATTTAAAAAGTGATTCTGGAATTCATTTGGGAGAGAAAATATTCAAGAATTGTCGACAAATTTTTGAAAAAGAAATGATACCTTGTCAATGTCAAAATGTACTATAAAGCAGTACTGTCATGTTGTAATAATCATTTTGTGATTGATCCAGTAACAGGCAAATACATCAGTGGAATGGAATAGAGAGTCCTGAGGCAAATCAGTTTAATATAAATATAGTATTTCAAATCAGTGCAAGTATGAACTTCTCGATAAATGGTGTCTAAGACAATTAGTTACCCATTTAGCAAAAAAAAAAATTCCCTATTTCACACTATAAATTAAAATAAATTCCAGAGGATTAATGAATTAAACACAACACACACACACACACACACACACACACACACACACACACGTAAATAAACTGCTGTATTGGGGGGGAATAAAGTATTGGAAAATTGCTATTGAGCAAAACTCAAAATAAGGAAGCCATTAAGGAAAAGATTGATACACTGGATTATATTTTTAAAATATCTGTATAAAAAAGATAACCAATATTAGCAGTGAAAAGACAGTAGGGTAAGTATCAGCAACTATTATAAATATGCTTATTATATAAAAAGAGAGAGAAAGAAAGAGAACAGGGAGGGAGAAAAGGAGGGAGGGAAAGAGGGAAGGAGAGAGGAAGGAAGGAGGGAAGGAAGGAAGGAAGGAAGGAAGGAAGGAAGGAAGGAAGGAAGGAAGGAGGCAGGCATCATAGAGGAAATATTAAACTGTGGAATACCCATAACATGAAAATTTATGCAACTCTTAAAAACAAGACGATAGATCTACATGTGTTGATAAGTCAAACTCTTTATAACACAATGAGTAAAGAAAAAAGTTATAAAACAACATAGCATATTGCTTTAGCATCAGTTTGCTTCTGATCATAACAAACCAGTCCAAAATTTAGTTGTTTAAAACAACCATTTATTTAGCTCAAAAATTTTCAGGTCAGTAATTTGGGCTGGGCTTAATTTGCCAGTTTTTATGGTTTGGGCTGGGATCAGCTGATCAGGTGGACTCACTCAGGCGTTTGTGTTCATCTGGTACATAGACCTACTGGGGTGTCTGGGACATTTGATCCATGTAGTCTCTCATTCTCCAGGTGACTCGCCCAGTCTTGTTCTCATGTTGGTTTCAGAGTTCTAAGACAGTGAGAGTAGAAGCTACAAAGGCCTTGCGTGCTACATTTGGAAGTAGCACAACATCACTTCTGCATTATGTTGGTCAAAGCAAGTCACAAGGTTAGCCAGATTCAAGGGTGGGGAAAATAAACTACATCTGTCAAGGAGAGGAGTGGAAAAGTGGTATGGCCAAGCTTGTAATCCACCAACCTCCGCCTACATACAAGTTTATTCCAAATAGCACATGTAACTCCATAAGAACCTATGCAGGTAAATGCAAAGAAAAAGGGTGGGATGCTACACACACACACACACACACACACAGCAGGGATTCCAGAGAAATGGGATTGTAAAAAGGTCATAAAAACCTTTTGCATATCTGTACATCTGAATACTTACATTGACTATTTATAAACTGCTTGTATAATTAAAACTAAAATTTAAAATGTAGTAAGCTCTGTACACTATTATTAGTATATGAATTAATATATTTAAAGACCTGATCTTACATATATGAAAGATCAACTCTTTTCTTTATTTCATTATGTTTATCTTTCCAAAGTGCTTTATTTGTTAGGCATTATTGAAAAGTTAGTGACCAGTGGATATGTCAGTGTCAAGCTGATTTAATGAGATATAATTTTTGAAAATAAATGAACTTACCATGTGGACTTCCTATACCATTTGCAACAGAAGCAAATGCCAGAGAATTACACTAAACATTCCTCCTCTTTCCCACATTAAATTAGCTTGCGCTCCACAAATGGCTGTTACAATAAAGCTCAGCAGGCTTTTAAAGAACTGAACTTGAATCTGTAGGGTGTAAGAAATGGAATTCCAAAATCTACTGTAAGTTTCTGTGTTCAAAGTATAACTTTCTGAGTTCCTGTGGCACCCAACCTTCTTCAAGAACCCTTTGGGTCTAAAGTAAATTAAGAGGCAGGTATGGGGATTAATGTTTGAGGGCTACTATCTATGTAGCAGGGTTTCATAAAAACAGTAACAGGTTTATGTCAGAGGCGGGCTGTCAAATCCCCAGAAAGCTGTTTGGTGACACAAAAGGCCAGCCACCCGCATCTGCTA